GCACTCCAGTCTGGGCGACAGAGTGAGACTCCAACTCAAAATAAATAAATAAATAAAAGGAAATAAAATAAAGTGCAGAATTTAATGGTTTCCAGTATATCACAGAATTGTGGACCCGTTACTACTATCTAATTCCAAAACATTTTAGTACTCCCAAAAGAAACCCTGTACCCATTAGCAGTCATTTCCCATTCCCCCTCTAGTACACTTTGTCCCTGAATTTAATTATTTGCAGCTATTCCCACAATTTTGCATTTTCCATGTACCACTTATAATAGTATTTACTTTATAGTTTATTTTGTTTTGTTGAGTTGAGTTAGAGTCTCACTTTGGCACGCTCACAGTCACCCCAGCGTCGACCTGCTGGGCTCAGGTGATCCTTTCGCCTCAGCCTTCCAAGTAGCTGGAACTATAGGCCCACGCTACAACACCTGACTAAACTTTTGATATATTGTAGAGATGAGGTCTTACCAAGTTGCCCAGGCTATTCTCAAACCTGTGGGCTCAAGCAGTCCCCTTACCTCGGCCTCCCAAAGTGCTGGGATTGCAGGCTTGAGCCGCTGCACCCAGCCTACTTGATAGTTTTATTAAATATATCCTTGCTTTTACAATGATGTCTTTGACATCACAAGGGTCAGATTCTAATTTTTGTCTAATGCACATAATAGATATATAATTATCAAAATAACTCGTGTTCACCTATATGCTACCTGAAATTACCTACTGTACTTTAAGGAACATTGATTTATACAATCTGCTCATGTGGAGATCGAATACCTGAAGCCTAATGGAATTAAGTAGGTATCACAAGTTTACACAGCTTAATGACAGACCTGGAGTCCAGCTTGCCTCACGTCTAGCCCTTTTCTCATCTGGTTGCATTGTGCTAGAGTAAGTGGTTGAAACATACTTGGAGGACAGAGTGTCGGAGTCAGGAGAGGCCTAGTGAAAGGGAAGTGGTGACTAAACTGCACTTTAAAGGATCAGCACACATTGCGTCTTATGGAGGTATTGGAGAGAGACCTTCCAAACCACAAAACCAGTGTCCATCTGGTTCTTAGCCTCAGGGACTTTTGCAAAGAAGGATGGAAGGAGGCCCAGTGAGGCCTAGGCCCCACCCCTACTTTAGCCTTATCATTTAGATGTTTTACATGTTGGGCTTCCATGTTAGGTTTCATTTGAAAAGATGTTTGGCCGGGCATGGTGGCTCAAGCCTGTAATCCCAGCACTCCCCCCCTCGGGAGGCCGAGGCGAGAGGATTGCCTGAGTCCAGGGGTTCGAGACCAGCCTGGGCAGCTTGGTGAGACATCGTCTCTACAATATGTCAAAAATTAGCCACTCGTAGTGTGCACCTGTAATTCCGGCTACTTGGAAGACTGAGGAAAAAGGATCACCAGAGCCCAGCAGGTCGACACTGGGGTGGCCATGAGTGTGCCACTGCTCCCCAGCTTGGGTGATAAAGTAAGACTCCAACTCAAAAAAACAAAAAGAGAGAAAGAAAAGTTTTACTGCTAAAATGATAAAGCCTACTGTTTCAACATTTTAGCAGTAAAATTGGAACATACAACGCATATGTAGAAAATTAAGGCTAGAACCCAAATTATAGGAGGATGTCTTCGTGGCCATTCTGAAGTGCTTATACTTTACTGTTGAGGAATGCCAGGGATTTTTAGTGGAGAGGGATGTGACCAGAGCTCTCATTTGCTCTTCTCTGAGAATATCTTTTATTTTAGATTGGGAGTGAAAAGAGACCAGAATTAGGGAGAAGTTATAACAATAAACTAGTCTAGACATGACAGATTTGAATATAATTCAATAAATGCTTATTGAAAGTTGACTGAGGCTGGGCTTGGTGGCTCAGCCTATAATCCCGCACCTTTGGGAGGCTGAGGTGAGTGGATTGCCTGAGCCCGCGGGTTCGAGACCCGCCTGGACAGGCGAGACTTTATCTCTATAATAAAATTTTTTTAAAAAGAAAGTTGACTGAATAGCATGGAATAAATTCAAGTTGCCCAAGGGACCTGCTCACAAAGCCTCTCCTGATTCCTTCTACCTCTCTTTGTTACTATATGTGTAATGCTAATAGTTATTGAGAGGATATAAAGAAATAGGACATGGTTGGTGCTCTCAAGGAACTTAGAGTTCACTAGGAGAATCAGACATAAAATATTAGCTATAAATAACTGTAAGGCAAAGGTAATAGAATAGTATTACCAGTTCTAAAATTTACTGAATACTCAGCCAGCTCTAGCTAAGAGGACTTTATATGAATCATTTCATTAATTCACACTGCAGCTTTGTGAGGCAGAATTTTTATTCCTCCTATTTTACAGAAGAAAAAACAGACTTAGAGAGGTTAAGTCACTTGCCCTAGAGTTCAGCCCATAAGTATTGAAGTAAAGACTTGAATTTGGAAAGTGATCTCGAGGTCCATGCTCTTAACCTCTTATACTGCCACCCTCAGAAAGTGTAGAGAGGAGACATCGGACAAGGAGGATGAGAGAAAGGAAGAGTCAGCAATGGCCAAGGCCTTGATCCTGGGCAGTTGTGTGAATGGTGGTGACTTTGACAGAGAAATGGATATGGATTTGGATGGGAAGGTTTTTCCTCCTTACAGCATGTTGAGATTGAAAAATATGCAGAAGGAGAGACCCAGCAGATTGCCAGAATACAATTCTGAAGATAAAGATATTGGTAATAATAATAACAACAATTACTGATATTTTTTGAGGCAGGTACCAGGCACCATCCCCTGAACATTATTATCTGTTCTCTCAGTCCCATCTGCAGCAGAGGCTTTTGATGCTCTGTCTTACAGGCACAGCATAATAAGTAACTTGCCCAGGTAGAAAAACAGTGAGTGGTGGAGCCAGGATCTGTACCCAGGCAGTCCAAGTCCAGAGCTCATTCTCTTAGGACACTGCTATGCTGCCTCCTGAAATGACATCTTCACAATGTCTCTAGTTAAAGCAGATCATACAAGAGCTGGCAGCAAATTTACAACAAGCAAGCTTATTTCTTACCACTTTATATCACAAATATATAGGCAATATGGATTATATAAGATGTTAAAAATGGCTAGGCTCAGTGGCTCAGCCTGTCATCCCAGCACTTCAGGAGGCCGAGGCAAGTGGATTGCCTGAGCCTTCGGGTTCAAGACCAGCCTGGGCAACTTGGCGAGACCTCATCTCTAAAAAAAAAAGATGTTAAAATTACTGGGCACAATGACTCATGTCTGTAATCCCAGCACTTTGGGAGGCAGAGGCGAGAGGACTGCCTGAGCTGAGGGGTTAAAGACCAGCCTGTGCAACTTGACGAGACCTCATCTCTGTAATAAATCAAAAACTATCTGAGCATGGTGGCACATGCCTGTGGCCTGTGGTTCCAGCTACTTGGAAGGTTGAGGCGGAAGGATCACATGAGCCCAGCAGATGGAGGGCTATGGTAGTTGTGAGCATGCCATTGCACTCCAGCCTGGGCGACAGAGTGAGACTTTGACTCAAAAAAAAAGGTAAAATTTGAAATGAATCAAATTCACTTCTCTTTTTTCTTTTTTTTTTTGAGTTGGAGTCTCACTCTGTTGCCCAGACCACCACAGCCTCAACCTGCTGAGCTCAGGCAATACTTCTGCCTCAGCCTTCCAATGAGCTGGAATCACAGATGCACACCACCACGCCCAGCTAATTTTTTGATTTATTGTAGAAATGAAGTCTCGCCAAGTTGTCCAGACTGGTCTCGAACCCCTGGGCTCAGGCAATCCTCTCACCTCCACCCCCCACAGTGCTGGGATTATAGGCGTGAGCCACCACAACCAGCTCAAAATTTACTTCTTTTTTGAGAGTAAACAGCTCAACCTAGAAAAGTGATATCATCAGCTATTAAAAGCCACATACATAGAGAAGCATATTAGATGGTAATGTGTAGGGCTATTGAATTCTCATAGTAATCACATTTGAGCTATATTTGTAGAGTTTATACTTTGCATATGTGATCCCAACAGCTCTCAGGAGTAGGTAAAGCATTTTTCACTATTCCTGTTAAGGAGAGAGGAGTTGAGTGTCCTCCCATCATCACATAGAAGGTACGATGTGTTTGGAACATAAAAAGGAAAGCTGGGAATGTATTATAAAAGTGTTCTTTTTAAACAACATATGGAGTTATCAAAGTAAACCTTCCATTTCTTCTGCAAGTTTCATACTATACGATTAGGACGGCCCAGGATTGAAAGAACCACTTGAGGAAATCAGCCAGAACATGGAAGGAGCCTCAGAAGTGCGATTCGAGTGACAGTCCCCTCTCCTTTAACGTTCTTTCTTTCAGGGCATGGTGGCTGTGTCTGGCAGTTTGTCAGTGCTTCTGGATTCCATTATCTGCGCACTTGGCCCCTTGGCGTGTCTGACCACACAACTACCTGAATTGAATGGTTGTCCCAAACAAGTCTTGGTGAGTTTTCCTTGTTTTCCTTAGATTTTTAGATCTAGGCCCATTGAGAGTCAGAAAGGCCCTGCCTTAATGAGCACTGTCAGGAACAGGCTCCTCAGGCTTTGTGGCACATGGGCTCCCTTCCTGTGTTGACCCACGGAATGTGTCACTGTTTTATTAAATGCATGCTGTGCTTTCATTGAAGCTAAAAAATGTGCCATTTCTAAAAACAGTACTTTGGGGAGAAGCAGTCTAGCCATTGGGGTACTGCAGCTCCTGGGTTTTCCATTTGCTGTTCTACACACAAAAACAGTACAGATATTTTCTGCTTCTGTTTTACTAGGACTGATGGTAGAAGTCAGCAGAGGCTGGCTCGGTGGCTCAGCCTATAATCCCAGCACTTTGGGAGGCCGAGGCGAGTGGATTGCCTGAGCCCACTGGTTCGAGACCCACCCAGGCGACTTGGCGAGACACCTCATTTCTACAATAAATAAAAAATTAGCCGGGTGTGGTAGCAGGCGCCTGTAGTTCCAGCTACTTGGAAAGCTGAGGCAGAAGGATCACCAGAGCCCAGTAGGTTGAGGCTGTGGTGGCCGGGAATGTGACACTGCACTCCAGTCTGGGCGACAGAGTGAGACTCCAACTCAAAAAAGAAAACAGAAAAGTTCTAGCATAACAGACAATAGGCTGCCATCTTAATTCTTACCCTGTTTTTTCTAACTCCCCTTTATCTTTCTCATCTCTCTCCCCTGAACAAAGAAATATATCTTAGGGAACCAAGGTACAGTACTCTTCAATTGAATGTTTTTTCCTTGTTTTGCAGTCAAATACACTAGACAACATTGCTTACATCATGCCTGGACTGTGACAGCAAAGAATCCTGGGACAGAATCCTTATCCTCCACCGCTGCTGGTTTGTGTATATATGACTGTTCCAGATCACTCTGGGCCTCTGGGTATAGGTTTTAAATTTTTATATCTATACATATATATATATATATATAAATGTACAATATATACATAGGACTGTAACTACTTTACTTTTAATAATTTTATGAAATGGCAAAGGTTTAGCCAAGGGGAAACTTTGGCATGAATATGGGCTTGGGATTCTTTTTCTCCTGTGGTGGATAAATCTGCCTTAAAAATCAGTGTAACTTGGGGGCTGGGGTCTTGTTCTGGGTGCCAAGTGCATCTCTTTATGAACAGCTAAAATTGGATTTTTTTTCCAAATGTAGTTGGACCTCCAGACCCATCACTGACCATTTGCCTTACCTGTCTTACAGTCTAAAATGTAATGGGAGAGATTAGGGAAGGATGCCAGTTGACTGAAAGTATAAAGCCTTTCAATTTTAAGTGACTGAAGTGGGAAGCGGTAAAACTGTTCCCATTATAGTTATTGAGATGGCTTAGGTGAACTGAATAGGGGTTCATTCCAATTCCTACTATGCCAGTGTCCATGTCTCAAAATGTACTGTTATCATTGGTACCATTGGTAGTTTCAGCAGAGGCCAAGGAGTTATGTGAGCCCTGGCAACAAAAAATACCTTGGAGGAAGTAAAGCTGTCGATGCTACCAGTTTAACCGAATCTATTCTGAGCTGAGCCAGAATATTTGGTCTGTAAAACTAAGAGCTGGTATCTTTCATAGGTAGCATTAAGTTAGCCTCCAAGTCCTACAAGCTGTACTGCTTAGTTGCCAGGTGATTGTGGATAAATTTTGCCCAGGATGATTCTTGGTTTCATCTTAGTGGTTCCTCTGGCGGGCAGATATGCAGTGTTCTGCATTCCACATATAAGTGAATGGCAAAAAAAAAAAAAAAAAAAAAAAGTACTCGATTCTCATGTAGGTTTATTTATGTGTGTGTGAATGTGTATTTTGTGTATTTAACTCTTTAAAATCTCCTAGATTTTAATTTATCCTGTAAATTTCTGTATATATAATTTAATAACAAAAGCCTCCACCAGCAATAGCATGTGGAAGATACATATTTGTCATTTCTCCCTTCCTTTCTTCCTCTGATCTGTTCCGAAAACTCCAAATCATCTACGTTTTAAGGTATTGTACCTCAAAAAGGAATCAATATGTTACAATCCGAGTTTTTTTATAAGGAACTTCATGGCCTTCAATAATGTCAGGAAAGTAAAATAAAAAAGAATGTTACCATTCCCAGCTGCCCTTATTTCCAAAGAACCAGATTCTTGCTTCCCAGTTGGAAAGAAGATAGTTGAGCACTTCAGGGTTGTTTTTAAATTTGTTGTGAGATTCCCTGCCAAAACCAAGCTCTGAGGTAACGTGCTTTCTTCTCCAGACCTAGACAGAGCACTACAGCATCAAAGTAAATCTTTGGGCACAGTGCAACAAGGCTGCATCCTGTTTCATTCCTTCCCTTCTTCCCACCAGTGTTGTCACAGAGCTGTGCTGCTTAAAGGTATTCTGGGCCAGGAGTGGTGGTTCATGCCTGTAATCCCAGTGCTTTGGGAAACCAAGGCAGGAAGATCACTTGAGGCCAGAAGTTTGAAACCAATCTGGGCAACTTAGCAAGACCCTGTCTCTACAGAAAATTTAAAAATTAGTCAGGCACAGTGGTGCAGCTACTCAGGAGGCTGAGGTGGGAGGATTGCTTAAGTCCAAGAGTTCAAAGCTGCAGTGAGCTATGTCTGTGCCACTGCACTCCAGCCTGGGCAACAGAGTGAGACCCTGTCTCTAAAAAAATTTTTTTTTAAATGGTATTCTGGCCCAGTGTGGTGGCTCACACCTGTAATCCCAGCACTTTGGGAGGCTGAGACAAGAGGATTGCCTGAGTGCACAGGTTCAAGACTAGCCTGGGTAACATGGCAAGACCTCGTCTCTACTATAAATTTAAAAATTAGCCGGGTGTGGTGGCACACACCTATAGTTCCAGCTACTTGGAAGGCTGAGGTGGAAGGATCACCTGATCCCAGCAGGTCAAGGCTGTGGTGGCTGTATTTGTGCCACTGCACTCCAGCCTGAGCGACAGAGTGAGACTCTGACTCCAAAAAAATAGGGTATTCTGGCCACTGAATCCCCGTCTCAGCTCAAAGCAGTTTTGAGATTTAATCAGGGAAGCAGGAATGTTTGGGAACCAAAATCAAGAAGAGCAGTGACTTTACCTTGATTTCATGTGTTAGAACCTCATACTATGCCTCTTCTGTACCCATGTAAGTTTCCTGTTTGACACAGGATATCGAGGAGGGGCCTGGAAGACACGGATAGTACAGGAAGAAGTTAGTCCTCCATTGTCGTGTGTACCCATCAATGAAATCCTATGAGGACCTGCTTTTTGTTTTCCCTTGAGATCCAGCCCTATTGTATTTGTATTTAAAATTTGTACACATTTGTATAATAATCTGTACCTTGTGGTATTTGGTACTAATAGAGGAAAAACTTTGGATTCAGACCTTCTTGCAGTTTTTATATCATTGTTTTATTTTGTTTTTTAAATAAATTCTAGTGGTTTGAGCCAAATCCCATTACAATTGTATAAAGAAATAAAATTTTGTACTTATATTATTAAAAATCACATTTTTAATATTTGTAGTCCAGTCTCAGCTGTCTTTTCCCTAATTGTGCTAATCATAGTTGACACAAAGTTGTAAAGCCAGTTTTTCATACTCTATCCTACCATAATTTTCTTTAAAAAAATAAAAATCAATCTGGAGTAGAGGTCAAATTGTAATCTTAACCATTTTCTTAACATACATCTTGGCCGGGCTCGGTGGCTCAGCCTGTAATCCTGCGCTTTGGGAGGCCAAGGTAAGTGAATTGCCTGAGCCCATGGGTTTGAGACCTGCCTGGGCAACTTGGCAAGACCTCTACAATAAATAAGAAAAAAAAAAAAAATAGCCGGGTGTGGTCGCACGCGCCTGTAGTTCCAGTTACTTGGAAGGCTGAGGCAGAAGGATCGCCAGAGCCTAGCGGGTCGAGGCTGCGGTGGTCGGGAGTATGCCACTGCACACCAGTCTGGGCGACAGAGTGAGACTCCAACTCAAAAAAAAAACAAAAAAACATACATCTTACTCTGTTTAAATTAATTTTTATATTGTAGAGGCTTTCGTTTTCTCTTTTGCAAATTGCATATCCAGTGAATCTGATAACTGTGGCTCCATTTATTGGCAAATGAAAATACATACATTATGGTGTTAGCCTAAATCAAGAAAATTTCAGTCTTGTGTATGGATTGCATCTGAATCATATAGTAAATATTATATAGTTTATGCTGGTTCATTATTATCTTGGCTTAGTCTGTGATGCTGGGTAAGTCACTTAATCGTTATCGTCTTCTAAAGTCCCATCTATAAAATTGTGCTGTCATCTCCCTGTGTTCAGGCCTGCAGCCAGCCAGCCTGACATGAATGTTTAATAATAATATGAACATTGAAAATACGGAATTGATCTTTCAAGGTAAAAATTTCAATGCAAACACAAGGTGTTAAAACTCATAAATGGTGAAATAATATAATTAATTAAAATGCTAACACCTTGTGGAAAGGCAGCAAGAGACCACCATATCACTAAATGACTGTTAGAGTGATTTGCATACTTCACCTTACTTAATCCTCCCAAATGCCTTCTGAATATTATCCCCTTTTACTGATGGGGAGACTGATGTCGAAAAGTACTTTTTCTAAGTTTAAACAACTAGAAGATGTCAGAATCAGTAAGAACATTGGTACAGCTGACCCCAAAGTCTAGGCTCTTTCTACCCCAAGCGACTTTCAAATTTAAATCATGTATCATTAATCAGAATCCTTCTCCTTCATCTAAAGTCCAAGCAAATGTGGTTATAGGAAAGCTATCTGAGATCTTTGCATTATTCAAATGTCCAGCTGGCTTTCACTCTTCTTATCATACTACTGTCTTTAAATTTTGGAGGCAGTGTATCTTGACTTTTGTCTATAAGTACTTAAAGGATATAACATTACACTTATACAGATTGTCACTAAAGGGACTTAAAACATTTTTAGCCTTAGGAAGGTAATATTAATATTGCTAAAGCACTTAAAAAGAAATTGAAACAGACTTTTTACTAAATGAATTTGTTCCTTATTAACACGGTTTTAAAACATAGTTTCAGGCCGGGCTTGGCAGCTCAGCCTGCAATCCCAGCATTTTGGGAGGCCAAGGTGAGTGAATTGCCTGAGCCCGCGGGTTCGAGACCAGCTCAGGCAACTTGGCGAGACCTCATCTCTACAATCAATCAAAAATTAGCCGGGCATGGAAGTGTGCACCTGTAGTTCCGGCTACTTGGAAGGCTGAGATGGAAGGATCCCCAGAGCCCAGTAGGTCAACGCTGGGGTGGCCATGAGTGTGCCATGGCACTCCAACCTGGGCAACAGAGTGAGGCTCCAACTCAAAAAAAAACAGCATAGTTTCAATTAGTTTTGTACTGACTTAACGTTTGCCATTTATGGCCTATCTGCTGTGTTGATAAAATCTCTAACTTCCATCTCTTTATGAATATAGTATTCTGTTTACATGGGATTAATATGATTCTCCTTCCTATTTGGGGATATATGGGTTGCTTCTGATTTTCTACCATGAAGAATAAAGGTCACAAGAACTTCTAGCAAATCACCACCCACTTGGGGATGTAAAAGGTTGTTAATGGAAGAATCCAAAAGAAGTTCATACTAAACATATTCCATACAAGCCTGGTGTGGTGGCACATGCCTGTAATCCCAGCATTTTGGGAGGCGGAGGCAAGAAGATTGCCTGAGCCCGGGGGTTCGAGACAAGCCTGGACAACTTGGCGAGACATCGTCTCTACAATAAATCAAGAAAAATTAGCCAGGCATGGTGGCACACGCCTGTAGTTCCAGTTACTTGGAAGGCTGAGCTGGAAGGATCACCTGAGCCCAGCAGGTCAAGGCTATGGTGGCTGTGAGCATGCCACTGCACTCCAGCCTAGGCAACAGAGTGTGACTCCAACTCATAAATAAATAAATGTATTCCATACAACCAGGCAATATGGTTAAATGAAAAAAGATGTGGCAAATACCCGACAGGAAAGTCATCTGAAATGTACACCCCTCCCTTATTTATATTCCAATTACCATTACTGAAAGGTAGGTTGATTTATTTAAACTTTCGTACACTAGTCATTGTGTTAGGCAACAGTGAGGAGCAAAATGGACGCAGTATCGCAGCCCTCATGGAGCAGCGAGGCTAGTGGGGGGGAAGTGCTTGTTAACAGATCTCCAGCTTCATGGAAACACTTCAAAGAAGAGTTTTTACATGGTACAGTAAAGAGTCACAAACATAATGCTCAATAAAGACTAAAGCCTTCTGCAGTCATCCAAACTACCAAGGCCAAGGTTATTGTATTTTTTGGAGTACATGTCAAAAGAAGTCATAACAGAGTATGTAGTGGGGACACAACATATCCGACACACAGTACACAGCCAGGAAAGCTGAAGAACGGATTGTAATCATAAAGCTGGAAAAGATCTCCGAGATTCTTAACCTGGGGTCCACTGTTGTACTTCAGGGACCCCCAAAACTCCCTGAGGTTATAAGCCAAATTGTATCACTGCCTTTTTTCTTCTGAAAGTTTCATGGCTGTTTTCAAATTCTCAAAGGAACATGTGACCTAAAAAAAAAGAATTGGTTAAGAGTCCTTGATCTAATTCCAGGATCCAGAGAAAATGGGAGCTCTGGCTCACACAGTACATCGGTGGCAGAGATGAACACCACGGGCCCCTGTTGCAGCTACATCTGTATGTTTTCTGCCATCCTGGGTCTCTAGCTGCAATTCATTAAATTGGCTCTCAGTCTCAAGGGATCACAAACCCCTGGCCCTTGCCTCCTATTTGAGGGAAGGGAATCCGGGCTGCAAGTGAGGCGTATATCAGGCAGGGAGACAGCAGGGTCGGAGAGGTAACCCTGGGATGAGTGTAGTCACACTAGGAGAGGCACTAAAAGGCTGAGCGTCTGCGAAACCTTACGCAAGTTATTCTGATCTGAGACTCAGTTTCCAGGTATGCAAAGATACCTCTTAGACCACGCCCCCAAGACGCCTTTTAAAAAGCTGAGGGCGCGGCTTATATCGTGCGTGACGTCCGCCGACGCCGAGAGAGCCGCAGTGAGGTCATCGCCCTCGGCCTCTGGGGCGGGGCCCTCGCGCGTGGGGGCGGGGCCTGTGGCCGAGCTCCGAGTCTCTCCGCCCCGCCCCCGCCGGCGCTTCCTCGAGGGTTGTCGGGCGCGTCACGTGACGGGTCGGCGGCGCTGGCGGTTGCTGTCAGCTGATTCCCGGGGTTGGTGGCAGCAGCAGTCGCAGCGATGGACTTTCTCTTGGGAAACCCATTCAGCTCTCCGGTGGGACAACGCATCGGTGAGTCCCTAGATCCCCGAGCAGCCCCGCCCCGGTGCTCCACACCCGGCCTCAGTCCTCTGGGCGCCTCCAGGTCTCCAGTCACGGAGGCAGGGAGGGCAACGAGGCTTGGCGTGGAGCTCCGGGACCTGGTCCCGCCCCGTCTCCCCGCCCATCCTTGATTGACAGGATCATGGGCCACTAGGAAGCCTGTGTTTGTGATTGATGCTTACATTAACCAATAGATAAAGAACGAGGGCGGGCCCGCGTGGCCACTGCCCAGCCAATGCGTGTCTGCTGGGGTCCGGAATCCGGGGAGAAAGTTTTTGGGGTTAAAGGGACTGCGTGGTTGGCAGTCGTTCTGCGTTCGGCTGCTTCCCGCGTGTCTTCTCCCACCCGGGTCTCGCCACCGGGGCTCTTGCCTGGTCCTTCCTGGTTCGCCGGACTCTCCAGACACGGACACCCGAAGACAGCTAAAAGCCCCTTCTCCCAGGACCGAAGAATCCCGAGGTTTGGCGTTTGGGGGCGCCTGACAGGAGGGGGCCGAGCGCCCGATACCCCGTCAGCCTGTCAGACCCGGCTCTCGAGACGTGACTGCCTTGGCTCCTTTCACCAGTCAGCGTCGGATGGACCCTCACAGACCCGAAAACGACCTTAGAACCCACCGGCTCAGCCTCCCTGGTTTCTGAGTCGATGGGGCGGCCGAGCACTCGGGCCGAGACTCGCGGCTCCATGGAACCCTGACTGACACCTGGTCCGTGAGGCTTTGCGCCCTGTTGACAGGAGACTTAGGGTTCTGTGATGTAGCTTTTCCCCCGTAGGTAATTAGGGAGTAATAATGGTCCTTACCACCCTTGGGCTTGTTGTGAAGAGTAAATTAGTTAATAAATGTGAAGTGCTCGGAACAGTGCCAGGCATATGACCAGGGCTATATAAATGAAAGTTGTAGTGTTTACTGTCATTGTCACTGTGATACCACCAGTGAGGGCGGGAATCCCTGGAGATCGCTGAATGTGGTCTCATAGGGCTTTATTTGTGTGCACCAATACGGGGTCGGGGGAAGGGGAACCCACAGGCCGTGGCCCAGACAGCCACGTTCTCCAGGGATAGTCTGGGTGTGCCCTCCTCTTGCAGGAAGAAACCATAGCATTACTGTGAAATTACATCTTCATCCTTTTTGTGACTTTTAGTCTTAAAAGTCCAGACTGGGAAAACTCGTAGTTTAAAACAAGACATTCTTTCCATTCTTACTGTCTCGGAAGCCAAATCTCTCGGAAGTCTTGTCACCCCAGCTCTGTGTTGTAATCTCCATCGTGGCTATTTGCCACTCTTCTGAGGTTTTGTAATCAGTTATTTCCAAGGGAGAGGTGGCAGTCCACAATTTACACACCAGGAAGCTCCTGACCAGGGAGGGAAACTGTCCTCTCAGAGGACCGCCGCCCTCCCCGGACACACACACACACACACACACACCTCACAATGAGTCATGGTTTTGGAGCTGAAAAGAGAAGGCAAGCCGGGCTCGGTGGCTCAGCCTGTAATCCCGCGCCTTTGGGAGGCTGAGGTGAGTGGATTGCCTGAGCCTGCGGGTTCGAGACCTGCCTGGGCAGCGAGACCTCATCTCTACAATAAATCAAAAAATCAGCCGGGCA